ATGGTCAATAAATGGTGAAAACTGTCAATCAGTGTTTCCCAAAGCCCAACATGACATCTCATTTTATCCAAAACCCCAAAATATTCAAGTTTACAATATTCAAGTTTACTGTCACAGAGAAGTAAAGAAACCAGAAAATCATCACATTTAATGAAATCAAAATCTAGATTTTTTTCCCTAAGAGAACTACCTCAACTAATGATCAGTTATCAAAATAGTTGACAAACGAATTGATTAATAGACTTATTTTTGAAGTATCAATAACACAAGGTTTATTAAAAAAAAATCTTAGGTGTTACGGCAGCTCACTTCATGAGTGCACTTGTAATATTTATATGTAAAGGTTACAGTGTTGTAATTCTCTATAATATAGCACACTTCAAATATTTACTCATTCATTGTCAAAATAGCTCGCAAATAATTTAGTAGTCAACAACTGATCGACAATTACCATGTAAATTAATGCTCTTTTCTGTGATTTTTACCAGGTTTTATCTGTAATTACAAAATTCTGTAAAATAATTGTAAACTGTACAAAAAAAATCACAGTTAAAAACAACTTAAAAAAAACAATCATTACAAGCAGGTTGCATTTTAAATGTCAGTATTGCAGTTAATCGTGTTCATCTAATTGTGCAAAGGCCAAATCGTGATTAATATTCAATTAACTGTGCATCCCTGGGCCACTTTTAGTCACTCTTAATGTCACTTCAGCATCACATCGTATCCAAAATCAGTTTGCGTGGAAGAAGAACGAACGGAGACAACTGATGGACCGACTGAAACGGGATGTCGGACGAGACAACAAAAACAAGATAACTGAGCAGGAATGACAAGGCAAATACAAGCCTTGGAGGACGCTGCAAATGAGAGGAAGGGAGAGAAGCAGATGGAGGAGAAGAATGATTAAAGAAGAGGATGAAGAGAAGCGGAGAGTGGGGAAAATAAGAGGGAAAGATGTTGAGGGACACGACAAATCATTACAGCAGACAACCTCATCCTTCACTCTCTGGTGCTCGCTCTCTCCCTCGCACACACACCACAGCTATCCTCTCTAATCTCACTCCTGTGGCAGTGTGAATAGATATGGCTGTTTAGTGCCAACAGCTCAGCTCCTGGTACCTGATGGCAGCAATCTGCTGAGTCAGCAGCTCTGCACTGCATGTGTGTATGCGTAACCGTGTGTGTGTGTGTGTGTGTGTGTGTGTGAGAGAGTGTGTGTGCGTGTGTGTGCCTTTAGGAGTGTGTTACTGAAAAACACAGAGGGAGTTAGAAAGAGAGAGTGAAAGTGCTCGTATTCGATTTACTTGAGTGCGTAGATGTGTGTAGCCTTCCTCAGGAATGAAGAGCACTGCAAATTGAACACTAACTTCACAACACATCCACAGGAGCAGGCTGACAGAAGTTCACTGTCATTACCATTGCCAGCAAGACATTACTGGCATTACCATGACAACAAGCTTTCACTGCCATCGCCACGACAGCTGCAGGTCACGACTCTATAAACTAAAAGGTTCAGCAACAAAGACACATACGGCGCGTTCATTATTCCTTAACAACTACACTTAAACATCATCTACATAACAACCGTCATCACCAACAACAGTGGCGGTGGCAGCAGCCTTGGAATCTGGCAGCCGGTGTGAAAACGATACAAATACTGGTGTGTTATTCAACTTTGTTTTAATGATGGAGATCAGAAGGCTGTTCGATCTTGCTTTATGAAGCTGACACGCAGTACAGTGCAAACGTTTGAAGCAGTTTAGATTCTTATCCATCACGCTGTGCCACCAGGGAGGCATCTAATCAGCCTTAAATTCATTCTGCCGCACGACAACAACCCCAAACAAGAACTATCTTCAGCGACGAGAAGAACAAGGGCTCGTGCAACAGACGACATGGCTCCCCGCAGAGCCCTGATTTCAATTTCATGGAGTCAGTCTGGGATTACATGAAGCGACTGAAGCAACTGAAACAAACCAGATCCAAAGAGGAGCCGTGGCACAAACAACCCACCTGCCAAAAACCTTAAAATAACGTATGTGTTGTTTCTTCATTTATTGCACTCTGTATGAAGCAATGTGATAAATAAAACAAAATGTGGAACATTCTGCACAGTGCCATGTATCTGCAAGTTAGGGTTCTTTATCTTTTCTATGTAGAATGATTTTAGTATTGTAATTGTAAGTTTTCTTCACATTTAAAGACTTCTTTTATTTCTTTCTAGCTTTTAACAACTCCAGGCTACACTGTGTATTATGAGACTAATTTAAGCAGTAAGTATTCTTCGGAGCCTGCTTCTGTATATTTTACCAAAGTTTGAGATTTGTACTTTAAGGTTAAGAGTTCACTGACCTCATTGTGTTTTAATTCCTGTAAGTTCTCCTGTCCTCTCATCTGATTTTGTTTCCCAGATGAGAGCAGCGCTTCATCTATTTTGAGCAACACACTAACACAATTTTCTGCATTATTATTCGCAGTATACAGCAGGAGTGAGTTCACCGCTGTGCAACATCACGTAAATGTCAAATGACTGAAAATGATGTAATCTCTAAGTAATCGCATTATTTCCAAGTTGACAAGTGGAATAGTTCTTCTTATAAACAATCAAAAACAAATACGTAAGGGAGACTGTAATGAAAATATAACTGGAGGAGAAACTCAAAGCAACAAACTCCTTTGATCACTGACACACGTTAGAAAACCTGCGATCAGTCAAACTGCATGAAAAGGGTTACAAAATGAGCTATGAAGACCAAAACTTTCTCAGTGTTGGACCTATGACCTGTGCTGATCTGCACGTCTGCATCATGACTTGACTCCATATGGAAATTATTTGCAGAGGAACTGAAAAATCTGATTGAGACTCTTCAGAAAGATGGAAAACAATACAGAATAATTGATGACAAACTAAAAATCATTTGGAAAAACACTTGCAGCATTAATCAAAAGATAGAGGATGAGCAATAGTGGTCGTCTGCCTTTAGTGACGCTATGGACAGCGGCACAACTTAACTCTGAAAAACAGATGGACAAGTGCTTCAAACTTGGCACAAGGGTTATCAATGGAAACCCGAGTTTCTGTGACAGCTCAGACGGTGTGAAGGAAACTGCATAATGTCAACCTACATGGACGTGTCCATATAGGTAACCCTTGCTTGCTGTTTAGCACAAAACTGCAAGATGAACTTTGCTAAAAAGAAATTAAAAAAAACCTAATGAATATTGGAAGCAAAAAATAGACTCCGAAGAATGACAGAACACCTCCATAGAAATCTAGAATCCTCCGTGCTGACGAGGATCAAATTCTTTTTAACAGTACTGTACTGACTTTTGTGGCATTGAGTTTCTACTGTGGGGCCTGTATTTGTAATTTAGTAAATTCTGACTCCTTAAATATGAGCTTGTACCATACTGTTCAACATCGGAATAATGCAGTTATTGTAAGGCATTACAATGTAAAAATCATTTGACATTTAATTGACTTTGCACAGGGGTGAACTCAATTCTGGTTATATTGTAAACAGTTGTACATTCTCTAGTAATGATGCCCCGCATTCATTCCTATTTGGTTTTATAATTGAGCTGTAATATTTTATGACTTGCTGCTGTTTGGCCTCTGGTTACATTGCTGAGCTACTGACTAAACATACACCAGCAAGATGCTCTGATGCAGTCTTGTTGGTTTTTACCAAAGTTCAGATTGGTGTTTGAAGGAGTCCTCAGACTGTGGAATAGTCAAACCAGAAGGCATTGGTCAGTCAGTGCCATAGCCTCACTTCAATGTTTTACAAAAAGCTGTTCTGATTTGTATTGGCTCTTCAAACAATTTGTCCAGACTTTATTTGTGTAATACTTTACAACAGGTACTGACAATGACATTTTTCATTGACTTATATCAACAAGAAGCTAAGTCTGATTGTTTGTTTACATATGTTGTCACACAGGTGCATGTAAGAAGCCTCAAACATGGCGGTTTCATATGCAACTGAAACATGAGAAGACTGTACTACTTTTTCCCAGCATAATTCAACACTTGTGTTTTGGCTAGAGATCGTTAAGCCTCCGTGGAGACTTTGTCATGGTGCTCTTTTACTAGCTAAACTCCCATAATGCCCTCTGCTTGCCAACATGGATGTGCCCGCCTCCTCTGGTCACGACAGTATTAAACAGTAGGAGCAACCATGTACTACAACTAATATACAATACTTAAAGTGTGTATTCTCTTGAAAAATGGCATCAGGTATCAGCAGAAACTAAACATAAAAAGCAAAACCACACTTTGTTATGCTATTAGCATTATCACAACAATCAGTGTACTCTGACAGTAATTAAGCAAGCCCATTTACGAGATGTGTTGCTGATTTTAGTTCAATGCAAACAACCCAGAGAGGTGAAAACGCAAATCTAACTGAATATTTTTAAAACAATAAATGCTATAAACTACACTCGATTTAACCTGATGTTTCTACTGAGGTTACAAATCTCATTTTGAGCAGAAATCTGACCAACACAGCAGCATCAACTCAACCAGCCATCTTCATCCTTCCTGCTCTCCATCACGGAGCAGCTACGCAAAAAAATGCATCGAGGTCAGTCATCCGTGTAGAGTGGATAGAAAATCGAGCTCCATTTATGTGGATGGTGCGTGTCACAATATCTGGCTCAACTATTATTCCAGTGTTCTTTGCTGTGCAGGTGTCAAGTGTGGCCTACTGTGCAAAAATGATGACAGGCCATTTCCAAAACTGTCCACCCACCACACTCAGGCAACAAGGGTTTGGATGTAACTGTTATACACTTGAGCTTTCAAAATTTTTTAGCTTTTTTTCTTTTTCTTTTTTTTTTTTTTCCAGGGTGGACAGAGTGTGTGTTGGCGGCCTTGGCTACAGTGGTTGAGTGGGTGAAAGGTAACAGGTTTTTACATCGGTGTGTTTAGATGACTGGAATTAAATGGCTGCAGACAAGCGCTCGTGGTTTTCTTTTTGTCTCTCTCTTACCTCCAGCCATGTCTTCTTCCAAGAGTTGTATCTGCAGGTGGAAAATCTTCTCCTGGAGGTCGCACAGGGTGTGTTTCATTTTCTCCCTCCGTGTCACCATGTAGCACAGGTTACGCACCTGAAACACAAAACAAAACATCATGAGCAGAAATAACGAGACAGAGGTGTGACACGGGCAGCGTGTTTCATCTTGGGCTCATCTCATCATGATTTAGTGAGGACAGTACAGACAGAAATACTTTATGAGCAGCAGTCGTGTGGATACAAAAACAGATATATGAAGGCATTTTATCCATTTGTGTCCCTGTGTCAAACATTACAACAAATCCCACACACACTCTCACATATTTTCAGCTGTGACACTTGACTGTCAGTATTTTTTTGCATTTTATTTGTCTTACAGAACATGAAAGAAGGCAGGCACGTTAATCTTCTATTCAACAAAAGTTGCTCACGCTTTGCCCTGAGACGGATGTGCTGTTGTGATACTGATGGGGGTAATAAATATGGATCAGTGCAATCATGAAGTGTAAACAGTCTGGAAGAGTGAGCCTACAGTTGAGTTACGAATTCTCCATCTCCAAATTCAGTGCATCTGTGGTTCTGTTGCTTCAAGTTAGAGACTGGATTCAACTTTATTGCCACTGCACAAAGGAAATGCAGTCTTTTGCATATATCAGCTTGTTAGGAAATTTGGGCTTGAACCCTCGTCCTTCTTATCAGTAGCTCAAAGCCCAAAGCCTTAACTACTGATTAGTCAAATGTATCAGGCGTTTTTTTTTGTTGTTTTTTTTAAATTGCTAAATTAATGGTTTTATTTTGCTAATTTAACGGTCTGGTAAATATTTAGCCTGTAGATCACAATTTAAAGGGTGCACTAATAACTGACAGTTGGATTTTTATGTATGATATAAGGAAGTTAGCAGCACATAGCTGCAGCCACCGTGAAGTGAAGATCAAGTTGCTTTCAGTGTACTAGCTAACAAATGCTGTGTATTGTGTTCAGTGCCCCAGTTCATACCAGGTTCATGCAATGTTCTGACAGTGTCACCACAACATTGGTCCACACCGCAAAGGCTCTTTATAAGCCATGAGCCGGGCTTGAGAAAATACACTTAACCTAAAATCAGAGGTCTCCCTGCCACAGCTAGGAGCAGCGGATATGAAAAGGTAAAGCATCGCCTTATATCCTCATAATAACTTAATGGCAGAGTTGGGTCTCACTTTCAGACAAATTTGTGCAGAGGTCCTTGTGATACTAACCACTCATGAACTTGCCTTTAATTCCATTCCGCATAGAAGCTCCAACAACAAACCTTTCTCCTGCATATGTTTTGATTCAGATCGAGCACAGGGAGGAAGTAGTTGTTCACAGACAAGTCCAGTGTCAATGTGTTTGTCAGAGAAAAACAAAGAAAAAGCGAGAATAGGGCACAGCTCTGAAATAAAAATGAGAATTCACCCATTTTAAATAGTAAAGAAATAGAAAATCAATATGTGGTGGTCAATGTTGATGCTGTGGTTGGCCGCCAAAAATAAATCAATGAATGGGAAACATCAGACTCTTTTTCAAATAGTCTCAGACACCTCTACGAATACATCATGCTCGATCATATCCGATTATTGGACTGACAGTGTCTGGCTGAAAAATTATATCGCCCAACGCTACTGCAGATCACACCAAAACATGACCTGCATGCTTGAATTTGTGTGTTGGTCACTACAGACATGAACGTGAGAGGGAGCAAACATATGAACAGTAGAATGAACGTTAAATGGAACCTTTGTAAATGGTTGGTTCAATCTCAACCTTATCTCATCAGCCCTGAGTCCAGCAGCAGGAAGCTGATTTTAACAAACACTACCTGTACAACACCAAGCGGCAGACACACAAATTCAGAGACACACTGGTGACAAAAGTGGAACGTGTGGCAGCTAAAGAGCCAGACATTTTTATCAGAAATTGGTGGACACCAAATTAGAGCTAAGACAAAAGTGGGTACTAGAGATACGCCTGTCAGGTGGACAAAAACACCCCTCAAATTAATGATGCTGGCCCATGTTTGCCAAGTATAAATCATCTATTACTGTGAAGCAAAACAACTTTATACGGCAATATATGTCAGAGGTATGGCTTTTTCAGTGTGTTGCAGTTTTTCTTCTGTAAGAGACTGACCAAAAAAAATAAAGCAGCTCTAGTTAAATTCCTCATAAATGACTCTGTGTAGGTGAAGGAAGGATAATTTAGTGCCACTGAAAATATCACACCACACGTCACTGACTGCTTCTCCTCAAACACTCCTCTAAAACTGCAAATTTTCAAACATCCTAAGGTTATGAAGCAGTCATACTCTCAGAGGTTCATGCTGTATGCATCCAATAATGAGACAGTAAGAGGTACGAGTCAAGAGGCGACGTCCTGTTTCCTGCCAATAAACTGGATCCCAGACTCTTCTTCCACTCAAACCCAAACTCCAGCTGAGCCCTCCTGCTTCTCCATACTGCCAAATTACTATCACATGGCCCTGTAAGCAGTATATAACTGCATATGTGTCTGGACTGAGAACATAGAGCTGGAAGATGAATGTGTGAGCGTGCATGTTTATGTTAAGCACATATGGATGTTCAAAGAAAATCTGTGGTTGTAAATGCATGTGTTACTGTTTTGTATTGGCAACATATAAGACAGAGGGAGACGGAGAGAGAAGAAAGCAAGAGAAATATCAGAGAATTAGACTGTAACGGGCTCAGAGATGTACATAAATTGAGAGAGACAGGTGGAAAAAGAGGCAGACATTGCAGAAGCGTGGGTAAATAACATTCAAAGATAAAGAAATGCATAAAGAGCTAACGCGCGGTCCCTTCGCTGCTGTAGCTGTTACATGTGAACAAATTGACTTTATCTACAGATAAAATGATTACAGAGCACAGATCCATGTTAGCTTAGAGTGTGGACGGAAACCGCAGGAACAAAGTGGAAAAAGTGTTAGTGAAAAAGAAAGCCAAGACCAGAGAGACGATCCAAGTGCACTGAAGCGAAAATTTGTCCTGATTCATGCCAGATAGCAAAGAAGAGAGACGTAAATCCAGCTATGAAATGAGCGTGCCTTGTTCGCTTTCTGCACGGTTCAATAAGACTGAACTTTGATCTACAGAATTACGACGCTCTCCAATGTGCAGACAGTTTGAGTGAAAGGGGGTAGAAAAGGAAATATTGTACAGCAGATAAAGAGGTAGGAGTGAGTCTCCTATCAGAAATAGTTCGTATAGTGTGTCATCATGGTAGGAGTAAAAATGAATATGTTCTTTGCAACTCTGTTTTGGACAGTCAACTCTCTGAACTCTTGTGTGGCGGGTTTTAAAGGCATGCTTTCTTTAAAAATTCCCCAAAACTATACCTTTTATCATTGCCAGAAATTATACAAACAGAAAGAATTGTCAGATTTTAAGACAGTCATTGAATTATTCATCTGTGATGTGTAAACAAAAATAATCTGCTCTCCTCGGCACAACTGTGAAGCCATCAGTGACTCAGCTGTGACCAATTCAGGGGCAGTTTGGCTGAACTGCAGGCTGTGTTCACATAGAGCTGATGGGAGACAATTATGAAAACAAATGCAAAAAAATAAAAGTAGTAAACGATCTATGGCATGTAGAGACAATTTCCAAGTATTGGTGACATCTGTGGGCAGCTTTTATAAAATAAATAATCCAATAAAGACAACTTTTTTTCTTTCATAAGTTTTATGGTGCTATGATTTGGTTATACTGCACAAAAAGATATTTTTTTTAGTTTGTGTTTGCTTGCTTTCCATAGAGGTACAGGACTTGGAGTCAAAAAAGTACCTGCAGTATGTGAAAATGCGAGAGGAGCAAAAAAACAAAACAAAACACAACAAAAAAAACACCCAGAAACTGCTTGGGGTTTCGAACCTTAAAAGACGGCGCTTCCGTCCTCTTCAGTGAGCTTGTAATTCCCCCACCCATCCTATTTTAGATAAATGTTGTGCATTTTTGTCTCATGAATTATTGTCATGTTCCACAAAAAATCCTTACGCCTACTGTTTGGGGTTATATAACTATTAACCTTGCAAATACTACCTTAGCATAAAGCAAATGAAACCACCAAAGATGTCTGCAAAAGTGTGACATAACAAGCATGCAAACTAATGTTAGCCTCTGTTGAAACAGCACCACACCTAATGCTATATTCACACCGTTCCCCAAATCAAAACACCTCAACAGCCCCAAGTTTTACATACGATCATATAGGCCAGTAAAGATGAACTACTCTAAGTTAGTCATTGCACCCCTGAAAGCTGTAGACATTCAACACATAGTCGTGATAACAACATAGCAGGACAGAGAAGCAGGAAGGGAGAGAAACTAATTGGGTCCAAGCCAGACCACTTGAATCCCAAACAAGCCAGAAACTGGATCTCGGCCAACTGTATTTCTCTCACAACGGTGAATCAGTAATCATGTGCCTCTAACTACATCTGAGTACATCGTGCGTGTGTGTGTGTGTGTGTGTGAGGCTGAAGATTTGTCATGGAGCTAATGGGACAGGATTGTGTGTGACAGATTTAGAAAGCCATGTATTCAGATATTAAAAAGGCAGCGCAAAACAATGAGACATAAAGAGAATGTTGCACTGGTAGGAACAAAACCACATCCTAGACTGGAACCACCTGTAGCCGTGTGTGTCAGAAAGTGCGAGATAAAGAGGCGGAACGAGAGGAAGGGCTGTGCGAGTTTGCATTTATGATATGATCGCTGGTTTATTTGTTTACTTAAACAGTGTGGGTGCGTGTAGGTGTGCGTATGTGCGCGCTGGCAGTCCTGCAGGGCTGACTGTTTATCTGTTGGTCTTGATGGATTCGTCAGCCTGGCCTATCTGACCCATTCCATCCCCGTGTTAGAGCACTGCAGATAAAAATAGCTGCTCAACTGGGACACAATGTGCAGAGCCTGGCTTTGATTAGGACACTGTGTGTGTCTGTGTGTGTGTGTGTGTAGCGTTTTCAAAAACAACTACCTCTGCCTGCAAACACGACAGGGGAGTGGAGAGCAGGATGGGGGGTAACGAAGGGGAAGAGCGATGAGAGACGAGGGGAA